TATATACACATATATATATATACAATTTGAAAAGGTAATTAAGTAAATAACTTATAATACTATGTAAAATAACTCTTTAATAATAGAACTAGGTCTTCTAGCTATTCTGAGTCAGTAACCAGTGTATGGAGAATGGTAGAGAAAGAAGGAATACTCTTTCCAGATTCACTTATATTATTTACCAGTGGAATGGGCTCTTTTGTTCCTATATTCTCCACGTTTGTTCTCCAGTACTGGGGTGCTGCCTGGAAATGACAATCTATCTCCAGATGTTACTTTGAGCAGTAGTGACATAGGCTGGAAACCTATATATATTGAAGCTATTGCCTAATCCAAATGCTATAACCTATACCCTCTCTTCAGCAAATAAGATGAGCTAAACATCTAAATGTATCCCCTAAAACCAGTGACAGAAGTGTACTAAAGGACGCCAAAGGGAAGCCTCTACATATCCATACAACAAATGCTATTACTGGTAGACCTATGAAATGGCCTGGATCCTTTGCAAACTGATTTATAGAGTCTTTTAATAGTGAAACTAGAACTGCCACATGACATAGCTATCTAACTCCTATATATTAGAAAATTGAAATATGTTCACATAAAAAAACTGTGTATGAGAGTTTTTAACTGTTTTATACATTGAAAAAAGCAATAAAAAATAGCCTTCTAGTGTGCTTACGCAAAGAGTGACGTGTATGCAATGAAATACTATGCAGCGATTAAAAGGGATGATAAGTAACACATTCATTAATACAGATCAATATGAAACCCATAATGCAAAATGAAAGAAACTAGAATCTAAAATCCACATGCTGAATGGATAGTGAGAAATTTAATGAAAAAATAAAAAAGAGGGAGCAGTACTTTGGAGGCAAAAGCGATTATGTAGTTCTCCAGTGGTAATGGTTGCATAAATTTGTGTTCTGTCAATACATCTCTTTCTACTGTAAGCTCTTTGGCAATAGGTGATTGTTAAAAACTCATTAAAGACTTTCCTGCATTCATAAAGACTCACTACACTAAGTTCTTAGATATCTAATGAGGGTTAATTAGTCACTAAAGCCTTTATCACATTTATTATATTCACAAGGCCTCTCTCTATTATGTGTTCTTAAATGTCTACCGAACCTTGAAATGCAGCTAAAATGTTTCTCTTTATTCTTTACATTCACAATACCTCTATTTGAGGTCCTATTATGACTCTTGAGTTGAAGACCAACTAAAAGCTTTTCCACATTCTGTAAATTCACAAGGCCTCACTCCATTATGAGTTCTAATATGGAGCTTCAGGTGTGAAGACCGACTAAAGGCTTTCCCACATTCCTTACATTCATAAGGCCTCTCTCCACTGTGAGTTCTAATATGGATCTTGAGGTGTGAAGAGCGACTAAAGGCTTTCCCACATTCCTTACATTCATAAGGCCTCTCTCCACTGTGAGTTCTTAGATGTTTAGTGAGGGTTGAGGAATCATAAAAGGCTTTCCCACATTCCTTACATTCATAAGGCCTCTCTCCACTGTGAGTTCTTAGATGTGTAGTGAGGCATGAGGAATTAATAAAGGCTTTCCCACACTGCTTACATTCATAAGGCCTCTCTCCATTGTGAGTTCTTAAATGTCTATTAAGCCTAGAAATGTGACTGAAGACTTTACCACATTCTTTACATTCATAAGGCCTCTCTTCAATGTGAGTTCTAATATGGATTATGAGGTGTGAGGACTGACTAAAGGCTTTCCCACATTCCTTACATTCATAAGGCCTCTCTCCACTGTGAGTTCTAATATGGATCTTAAGGTTTGAAAACCGACTAAAGGCTTTTCCACATTCCTGACAATTATAAGGCCTCTCGCCACTGTGAGTTCTAATGTGACCTTTGAGGTATGAAGAACGACTAAAGGCTTTTCCACATTCCTTACATTCATAAGGCCTCTCTCCACTGTGAGTTCTTAGATGGTTAGTGAGGGTTGAGGATTCACAAAATGATTTCCCACATTCCTTACATTCATAAGGCTTCTCTCCACTGTGAACTCTAAGATGCCTAGTGAGAGTGGATGAATCAATAAAGGCTTTCCCACATTCCTTACAGTCATAAGGCCTCTCGCCACTGTGAGTTCTTAAATGTGTACTGAGCTCTGAAACATACCTAAAATCTTTCCCACATTCCTTACATTCAAAAGGCTTCTCTCTTCTGTGAGTTCTTAGATGTCTACTGACAGCTGATGAATCATTAAAGGCTTTACCACATTTCTTACTGTTGAACAGCCTCTCCCCACTGTGATTTCTCAAATGTGTATTAAACTTTGAAACACACCTACATTTTTTACATTCATAACACTTCTTTCCACTGTGAGTTTTTAAATGTTTTGTGAGGGATGAGGAGCAACTACAGAGTCCCCCACAATTCTTACGTTCCCAAAGTTGCTCACCAGTACGCATTCTTGAATGAGGTTTTATGTAAGAGGAACAATGACCAGTTTTTCCACATTCCTTATATTGATCAGGTTTGCATCCATTATGAGATCTGCACTGATTCTTAAATGATGAATGATCCATGAAGGCTTTTCCAGACTCCTTGCATTCAGAAGGATTTACTCCAACAGAAGTTCTTTTGAGTCTAGTAAATTCTGCAATCAAACTGAGAGTTCTGCCAGACTGATTATGTTCTTTATATGCCTTTTCTCTATCTTCTTCAGTTGCATTGAGGCTCTCTACCGTATTTTTTCTGTTAAAAATAGCATATTGTCAGGATTCTGTTACCATTTCAAAACTATAATTTACATTGAATGTGCCTTCTCTGCTGTGAGTTATCTCATGTTGCACACATTCAGTCATCTCAGATAAGGTCTATCATTACTATCTTTCTAAATAATGGGTCTATTTGATAACTATATATAAGTACAATATATTTAAAATACTCAAAATATGATTTACATTTATAGAAACATTGTATTGTGAAAATTATGTGATAATACCATTTTAGTACTAGTTGTACACACACACACACACACACACACACACACAAACTTAATACTTGAATACTCTTTCTTGAGGTATTGCTTGCTTTCATGTAAATAATAGTCACTTCACAAACCTTTCCTGTTTGTTCTGTTGATATTCACTGCCATGTATTTCACATATTATTCCAAACATGGAGAACTGGGAGTCATTCTTCAGAGACAAATTTTGCCCATTATTATCCTGTTGAAAAACTAATCCGATAATTTTAAATAGTGTTTCATGACAAGAAACAAAAAAGGAAAGACATTTTATGAGGGATAGAGCACATATGAAGAAGAATATATTAGGGTTTTGGAATAGTTACCAACATAAAAATGATAATTAAGAGAAATGATACTATGAGTAGATTAAAATTATCAGACCAACATGTAAAGATATTATAAACAATGAATGTGAACAAAGGTACTATTAAAAGACCAAAAGTAAATTGTTCTAAATGATAGGAGGCTCTTTCCCTCATAAACATAAAAGGCATAAAAAAATTAATGAAAAATTTAAAAGTCAGCAAAATTATATGTAGAGGTTTAACCTACATAACCAGAGGCATTTACAATTTGATTCCTCTAAATATAATTAAATTCCAGCAGGGCTGATCTTTCAATAGATTCATGTAATTGTGCTGCTCTCAGGGACAGCAGTTTAACTTTCCTAAAATATCTCCCTCTGGCAGATTAGGTACAAAAATTAGCATGTTTAACATGGTGTTCATGAGGAAGAGCAGATCAGGTGGGGAAGAAAGAGAATCACATTTTCCTGAAATTGTGATAATACTTTGCTATCTGTGATTTCCAGGGACGGACATGCATAAGTTCATTTATATCAACATGATTACACCAAATTTATAACGAACATAGTAAAACATTAACTATACCCTAAACTACAAATCCTTCTTTAACCTAAAGTGACCCATGAACCCAATACTCACACACTTCAAGAGCATCAAGTCTTTTAACATCAACAGAAATAAAGTGTTGATTTAATAACAGATTTTCCCTTTGATGGGAATGCCACTACACTCAAAGGTCCATGAGGGCAGTGAAAATGCCCGTTATGTTCACCAATTTATATCAATTCCTCAACCTAAATCTTGTAAGATGTGAATGAATACGACATATTGACCCATACAAGAACTAGATGGGAAAAATGAAGCTATTCTTACCTGAGCACAGGTTCTGAAAGGTTTCCATCATTACATCTGTGTACAGTTTCTTCTGAGAAAAATCCAACAAAGCCCACTCTTCCTGGTTAAAATCCAGAGCCACATCCTCAAATAATATTGTGTTCTAAAACATCACAAATGCCCTGAATTAGCAAAGTACCTTATTCTCAAATGCATATGAAAGGATTGAAGGAGACAGAAAACTGAGGAACTGTGACTTTATCAATTACTGTGAATTCAAAAGGCTTTGTGTTGTGTCTAACATTTGACTGTCAGACCATTCCCTTCACTATTTGCATGGGTATTTGTAGTAGGGAAGGGTGATGAATAGCTCCCAACATTTGGCATCATATATCATAAATTTAGCAACAGTACTGAGATTAAAAATTTGGCTATGATTAATCCCAGTCTTACTCCTCTTGATACTTATGGTCCCTAAAAGCCAGATTATTTATTAGAAGGTTGTGAACTGAATTGTGCTCCCTCCCCCCCCCCACAAATGAACTGTAAATCCTAATCACTATACCTATAGTTATCCTATTTGGGAAATGGTTTTCCTTGATTTGATTTTGAAGCAGTATTAATCTAATGATGTAGGGTGTTTATTAACTCACTGTCATTGTCATAAAAGAACAAATTATGAAAGCAAGTACAAATGAAGAGGAAGATATATGTGACATGATCCATGAGAAATAAAAAAAAAAAATTATAAGTATGTTTCCCCAGAGCAGAAAAATGAACTGAGAATCAGAGACAGAGAGCCTTCCCCTTGAATCAGCATCCTGAATTCAGACTTCTAACCTTCTAAACTATGACGGCAAAAAAAAAAAAAAAATCTGTTCACTAAAGCTACTCACTTATGGTATTTTTTAGTATAGCAAAACTATAGAACTAAAAAAGTCTACTAATGATAAATCTATTTCACATTCATACCATAATTTCTTAATGGTAAAAAACAATTTCACCTTCTTCCATAAGACTCTCAGTAATATTCGACAAAACAAAAAATACAGGATAAAAGAAGGAAAAGAGAGTCGTGACATGAAGACAATGAGAGACTGGCTATTTGTTCCTTTGCTTGAAAAGGTAAAGCAAGCATGAGAAATAACTGGAGGTTGGTAGTTCAAACCCACCAGCTGCTCCCTAGAAGGAAGAGGGGACTGTCTGCTCCCATAAAGATTTAGTCTAGGAAACATTATATAGGGTCACTGTGAGTCAGTATTGAGTCAATGGAAGTAGGTTATGATTTGCACAATAATGCTACTGATAGAAAAATTAAGCCACATGTAAGAACAGATGTATAACATGAGCAAGACAAACATTATAAGTAAAAGCTAAAGAAAATAAATAAAACACTGTGACAGTAATGAATAATGTCTTTAATGGGGTCAGTAATAGATTTGACATGGCCCACGAAATAAACAGAGCTTTAAGATAAGTCAATAACAACACCCAAAATTGAAAATGAAAACAGAAGGAACAAAACTGGGTGGTGAAACAGAAGAACCCAAAAATTGTGAAACAAAAGATCTAATCTATGTATAATGAGAATAACAAAGAAGAGAAACTTTGAAATCCTGGAAGCAATAACGGATAAGAATATTATAAAACTAATGACAAAGAACCACAGATCCAAAA